CTATGGGTCTATAGTGTGGCTATATAACGTAGCGATACTGTGCATACAAATTGTATACTGTCGTTAATGCTGTGGCCAAACAGCGAGACTATATGGTATAACGTGACCATGCCACCAGCTTCACCCCCACGTGTACACTACGTTGCGAGTGACGCCCCTATTGTCTCTGTTCTCCGCCGTCACAATGCCATCTACAATCACGATGTCATCTGAACCACATCACAGGACGTCTACCCAGCTACTAGTAGTCACAATAGCTGCAGTGATCCATCTTCGTCATAGTAGCTGCGGGACACAGTCGCGTACACAACAACACACTGTCGTCATCTGACACCTATACCTGATCAATGAACGTTTGTGTAGCGAACCGCCAGCCGATCATTACGTGTGATCAAACAATGCTCATGCGTCTCGAATATAGCCATAGTGCAGCTATTTGCCTGCACATGGGATGAAAACGATACTACTGTTGCATCGCTCATGTAACATCACTGCCATCATCGTCACAATCATCATCATCATGATGATCATGATCATCATCGTCATCACCACCATCATCATAATCATCAACAACATCATCAGCGGCAGCAGCGGAAGATGTGCGGACATAGCTGCTAACAACACAGGGAGAGAGAAAAGAAAACAGATCGGGAGGTGAAAGGCATAAGTGATACAGAGAGACAGAGACAGAAAGACAGAGACAGAGACAGAGACAGAGACACACAGAAAGAGAGAGAGAGAGAGAGAGAGAGAGAGAGAGAGAGAGAGAGAGAGAGAGAGAGAGAGAGGAGAGGAGAGAGAGAGAGAGAGAGAGAGAGAGAGAGAGAGAGAGAGAGAGAGAGAGATATGGAAGGAGTGAGAGAGGGAGAGCAACGATAGACGGGCAAGGTGTACAGAACGTCAAACATACGACTTACGGTAAGCTGAGCCCAAGCTCTGCGGCAGCACCGAGGCCGGAGCCGACGGCCGTAATTCCGGACCCGACAGCGGTCAAGCCCGAGCCGACGATCGTCATGCCTGCCCCGACGGCGGTCATGCCCGTCAGGCTGAGCCGGTTACGCACTGACTTCTTAGCAGCCATCTCTCACACTGCCTTCTGCTGGCCCCAAGCGCAGGCTTCGTGGTGCGAGCGAGCGAGCGAGAGAGGGCGCGACGGGGAGAGATTCTTGAAAACAGATCAATATGAGTCACTGGCAGAGACACCTTGCAGGCAATAGAAGCCCACTGGTTGATTGCGCGCGGGCAGGCGTGCGTGCGTGCGCGCTACGGCTACGGCTGTGGCTGCTGCTGCTGCCGCCGCCGCCGCTGATGCTGCTTGTGTTATTGTTATTGTTGCCGCTGCTGTTGTTGTAATGCTGCTGCTGCTTCTGTGACTGCTCCTGCTGCTAATGCTCTCGGTGCCACTGCTACTAGTGCTGTTCATGTTGTTGCTGCTGCTGTTATTAAATGTTAATGCTCACACTGCTGCTGCTGCTGCTAGTGCTACAACTGCTGTTGCTAGTACTGTCACTGCTGCTGTCACTTCAGGTATGTCAGCTACTCGCTATCCATAACCGAACGAGCCATGTGTGCGCGTGTTCGAGTGTTCAGGGCACTCGGAGAGAGAAGGCCCACATTTTCGAGATTTTGACAGAGGTGATCAGAATTTCTACAGGAGGGGCGTTCCACCTTGAAAATTCACATATTCCACACCTTAGGCGATGCAAACATGCTCCAACGCCATAAATGTCAATGCACCACAGTGTGAACTCGCCTGCTTTACTAATATGTAAATTTACCTGGTAAACCATCAGTGGAATTGTTCACAAGAACCTTAAAACCAACAGTAAAGCTTCCTGAAGCTCTTCATTTTTTTTCTGTAACATAACACATTTGAGAATGCAGATATTACCGCACGGCTGGTTTTCAAACTCACCAACATTTTTGGTATCTTTGCATTAGTTTTTAACATTTAACTGTAAATTGTGGGAATTCACATTTTGTGTAGCTTATGAACTTCACAACATCATTCTCACCGATTGAAACAAGTAATTCCTTCCTCAGATAAGAAGACCAATTCCTAAATAAAGATCCTTCGATGGTTCGATAAACTATACGGGAATTTTTAATCGAGAATATTTAGAAAAAAGGTATTGTATCAAAGGCGGAGGTTCTCTCATTGCCTCCTACAACATGGTATGTCGCACAACCTGCTGGTCAGACGAGTTCCTGCTTGTTTTCACACCGAAAAAAGCCGATGAACAATACCAACATCAGTTTGATGTTACAGGACATGCTCTAATCAGTAATGAAAGTGTCAATGACACTATAGCTCACATTGGGTGTGATAGAAGAGGGAGATCATATTTAAAATTTGGTAAGTGTTTCATTTATGATGGACCGAAATGTGATCAAATGTCCTTATTCCCTGTTGTAACTTGTATACTAATAGAAATTTCAGTGTTGTTTCAGGGTTAGTTTTGATGTGAAAATAAATGTTTCAGATCTGAAAGTCTGAAATCTGGGCAAGAGATGGTGCTACACCTATATAATCACCATTTTGGTTTTCGATTAGTGCGCAAATAAAAGCAATGAAAAATTCCAGTCAAATGAATGTAACGAAGAATCTAAAACACAATATTACACGTAGGTATGATTAGGTAGGTAGGTAGGTAGGTAGATAAATTTAACAAAATCGAATGAATCTACATGGGCATTTTCATTTTTGCCAAAAAGTGGGCGTGGCTCAAAAGTAGGTCGACTGGCGTGCTCCAAAATAGGACGTTCAAATCTCTCCCATAGGAGTAACAACTGTATGCAATTTGAAACATGTTAGTCAAACGGTTCTTAAGTTATCGTTGACCGTAGGAAGACACTGAAATGCATAGTGAAATTGCCTAAATATACCTAATTTGCATAATTTAAAATCAAAATCAAAACCCCTGTGATATGTTTTGGGGCCAGTCCTTATTCATTCACATATCAAAAATGAGCAAAATCCGTTGAACCTGAACTGACTTATGGCCGTTTCCATTTTTGCCAAAAAGTGGGCGTGGCTCGAAAATAGGTCAACTGGCGTGCTCCAAAATAGGACGTTCAGATCTCTCCCATAGGAGAAGCAACTGTATGCAATTTGAAACATGTGGGTCAAACGGTTCTCAAGTTATCGTTGACTGTAGCCAAATGTTGACGGACGGACGGACGGACGTACGACGGACAACGACCCATGGCAATAGCTCATCTTGACGATGTCAAGGTGAGCTAAAAATGAGATCAAATTATGTCTAGGGTGAATGTGCCTAGCAGTTTTCTGAAGGGTGCAATCATGAGCATACACTCACTTAAACCTTTACCGAGCATTACTATGTACACATGACCATTTCCTCAGTATTATTTACCCAAGAATCATAAATATGAAGTTACATAATGCACACAAATGCCATAGAATGTGCATGGGTTAGAACTACATGTTGGTACAATTGCTGACTGTATGATGAAGATTTGGAGACTGCAATTAAAAATTAATGCAATCAACAGCGACTAAAGCGTTCGATACGTGAATTCATTTATGGTATAGTGCTTGTGTTTTATATGCACTAGTTATATTCTTATTCAGATCTTACATTGATCAAATGAATATCAGGTCACATAAAACCATTTTGGAAATGTTTAGAGTAGCTGTATATTTTGCTATGTCTATGTAAATTAAATGTGGGTTAAATTAAACAAAATCTCCAATTGGCATGTCTGTTTGAATATACATACAGTTCGGCTATTTCAACAGCGACAACATATTAAACTGGTTTACAAATGTAGATATAAGAAAATCTGCAAATAATAGTTATAAAAATGACAACAGTAGACATTTACACAGACGGGTGACATGGCCAGTCAAAACTGTGTGCATGAACTCACCAGAATGTCAACCTTGTAAGTGCTCGACTCTTATGAATGCACATATGCATTATGCATATATGTGCATTATGAATGACATGCACAGAGTCAAACAATATTGCGATTTTAAAATATATACATGCATTGAGAACGATATTGACAATGACATTGATATTAATATATGTGAGCGTACGTACATGCACAGCAGACCTTCAGAGGTTCAAGTGTCCTTAGCAAACAACGAATGGGTTGAACATATTTACCCAGTGTGAGGTAACAGATATTTACCTCCGCCACAGTAATGGAGTCACTAAATATCTACAGCAAATTCGTTATGAACGGATGCCCGTTTGTATGACACTGTATATGTGTACTTTATGGCTGAGAATATGTATTAGCATAGGCGAGATAAAATTCAAAGAAATATCATCGAACACTGTTTGTTTATTATTACTGGAACTTTAAAATTTGAGCATTTACAAGCAAAACACTAACTACTGCAGACTGTACAGTACTGCCCGTTGGCTGCATGTGCACATGCAGTACTGACACAGTAGGTTTTAAAACGACTATCTCACAAATAAATTGAAAAACTGCATAAGTCACTAAGTGTATACAAATTGGGTCTCACCTATTAGCAGACTTTTTACTGATTACTCCGGCACAACAATCACCACAAATTTGCGCTGTTATAGACTATAAACAGCAATTAAACAGCAAACGTGCGCCCGCCATCTTCAGATTCACGATAATGGAATGTTCAAATAGTCCGACAAAACGAGCGCACGTAGTTACGTGACACAAATATTTATAGACTGGTACCTATCTTGAAATATATACAAAGGTAATTCACCTAGTGAAGAGATGGGGTTTGGGTTTCGCAAGAGCAAAAATCTGTGCTCGGTTTGTTGACTATTATGTCAAAAATCTAATTTAAATGCAGATCGGAGTACATATTAATGGGAAAAATGTTGTGCGAGTGTTCCGACATGTTAGCCTCACTATATAGATATGGTGTTATGCAAGGAGTCCCGGTAACGGTAAGTATCAGAACGGCTGAGCAAATATGAAGATGGTTGGGAAAACATGAGAAATCCTCACTATAACAAATAATTGTCTCGGCCTACCTGTATCTTTGCTTATCTTCTATATATGTCTCAGTTGCAGATCAAATGAAGCTGCTGAAACAAAACAGCAGCACATGTTACTGAATAACAATGAGGAAGTATGGCAGGTGAGCCGAAGATACTTCTCGTCTTTTTTTAAATATCTATCAATAACGTGGTCTAAAAGTATGACAACAGTTTCCATGAGACAAGTGCCAACCTGTTAATTCACATATTATTGTTTCTTTGCTGACTTCCTTAGAGCAACAGTAACCAATAGGTGTTGATAATTAGCAAAAGCCAAATAACATCTTTAGGAATTAATTCATCCACCTAGTGAGCCAATATTACACGATGGCTCATTGAGATTACTATGACTGGGGAACACTACCTGTAACTTCTAGAGATTTACTATATAAAGAAACAAATAAAGTAGTATATATGCAGGTGTAGAAATTGACTTTTGAACAAGGGAGTCCAACGGACTCCTTACCCTCAAAAATAGGGAGTCCGCAGCAAAATGAGGGAGTCCGCAGTCTGAGGTTCAAAATTAAAGATATTAACAATAACGCATGTGATTATTTTTAAGATTCATGCAGTTGCATGTCTGCCAAATTTTCTTTGAACATTAGCTGAAAAAATACAGTAACTCCGCGAGGCCGTGCTCCGGAACTGAACTAGTTAGTATGGCAGAATTTTCAGGGAGTCACACGGACTCCTGCATATATATGTCAAATCAGGGAGTCCGAGAGTAAATGAGGGAGTATTTGACTCCGGACTCCCGTTAATTTCGCACCTTGTATATGTAATATGAAATGCCAAGCTTTTAACTGCCATGCTTAAAATAGTTGTTAAATGCCCAATTTCAAGATTATTGTTAGATTACATATAGATGACATATACTAGAAAACTGCGTGCAGATCCACTTTGAATGTGCCACCTCACATGACCTTGTGGCCAAGTTCAAAAACAGCTACTATTTGCCACCTTGTACAGATATTTCTTCAAATGTCATTAATGGTTATAAATAGTTATTTTCGGGTACAATTCAAGTCTAACACTGCCTAGACTGTTGTTGATCCCGTAAAAAACTGATATAGTAAAATTAAATGCACTTATCTGACTACATATTTAATTGCCCCATTGAGACTGAACATGATAAGCTACCATCTGTGTAGCCACAAGTTACCTTCTCACTTCTCACTATGTGGCAAGAAGGTCACAAGTGGACGAAGCAACCAAACCTTTTAGCTAGCAAGGCACTGCAACAAAACATATCAATATCCAACTTATAATGGCTCTGACCACTTCTCTATACAGTGCACTGTTGTCAACTATTAACCATGTATTTAGGTGTTACCAAGCATTTTTGAGATTTGATAAGGGAGATATTCATACAAGGCAATTATTTGTTTGAATTCTGCGCGATTTTCACACACTCTCAGCAGCCGCGCGCAGTTGTTGCACATGTGCAGTACTGCAAGTTTAGAGTTTGGCAACTTTAAAAAATAGTTACTTTCTAATTGTCTGATTATAAAATAAATGCCAAAGTAAATACCTGTTAAGAAGTGTGTTGTGCGTGAGAATATACTTGCAACATGTAAGAAGTCGGGTAGTATGTGGTAATACGATTGTTTTACTTATGAAATTCGGATTTGTTTTTAAGCTATAAGGTTTTTTGCATTGAAGGGTGTCAGGCGCCATCGACATGCAACAGTCGTAGAGCCTGGTCGCGCTACCGTCGGTGGCTGGTTAGTGTGAAGTTACAGCTCTGCACATGTACCTACTACCAAATCCCATTTCAAACACTAACAGCTTCAAAAGATCGTTGCTGAATTTACTGCAGAACAACGCTGCAAGTCTTGGGGGCCATGTAGTTATATATATAGTTCTGTGTATTCGTGAACCTAATCTTAACCTATATCCAAGCCACAAACCTATCCATACACAGAAATAAAGTAATAACATCATATTAAATAAAACAACACTGTAGCAATGGCAGTGATTTTCATGATGGCGGAGGATGGGCTCAAATTGATCATTAATGTCGCAGATTGGCCACATGCTGGAATAGATGCTACATTTTGTAACTTATAAGCCTGGTATTAGCAGGAGTTTGTGCTAGCACTGTGCATATTCTACACAGGGACTGTTCAGTTTTAAAATAGAAGTATAACTAGACATGAAAGGAGACGTGTAGAAATGGTTAAGTTATGCCGCATTTCTTCCATAGGCTCAACCTAGCCCTTCCCATAAATCGCTTAATTCTGCCATAGGACTGTAAAGTGTGGTTTGCAGATGTTACAAATAGTAGTTGGGTGATTGGAAATGTCGTAGCGACGGTGGTTGCATAATGGGTTAGTCGGCGGCCGCACGTTTGATGTAGTATGGATGATGGAGATGAGAAACAGTTGAGAGTCAGTTGTTGTGCATGTGGGCAGCGGGTGTGGTTGTCCGCACGCGCGCGACTGATTTCTTTGTTAGCTAGAAATGTATAAATGGAAGGTTCTTGGTGGAGAGGAGAAACGAGAGTGTGCGGAGTCACGCGGATGCGTGCTTCTGTGCGCACGCATGTGGGTTGAGAAACAATAATACTATTTGCTGAACACAACTGTTTGGACTTCCTTATTCATCGCTACAACAAATCTACATTGAAACATTAACTAACTATGTCACAAGCTCGTTACAGGACTATGCTTGATTGTATGAGCACACTCAGGGAGGAAATGGCAAAATGCAGTGCCCACTCTCTAGCACCGCTGCTATTTCAATAAAAAATATGTCAGTGAATGTTGCTCGTGCAATTATTTGTATTTTATAGCCAAATTTACCGGAATTATGGCGAGTTACATTTAAATTTAGAGTTGCAGGCCAAAGCCTATGTTTATTTTCACCTCTTCAGTATGGCAAGATATTACTGGTAATACTGCATGATTCGTCACCAGGTTCCTTTACAAATAATAATCATATTAATAATATTAATAATCACCAACTTCATCCTATGAAGTTATGAACACTATCTTAACTCCAAGCTCATCAATACATCATTATAATTCGGGGTACTACAGACCTACCAATTCTCCCGCACTCCCGCATGCCCTACGCATTCACGCAAAAGAAAAAAACTGTATGCAACACTTAAGAATTAACGTTTTTATGCCTTAAAATTTAATTTTGTCTTCCTTTCTTCGAACGCTAACAGAATGACACCGTTGAGTAATTGTCAAGAGTGACAGAGCGACATAACCATATAGATGTAGAATGTATGTAGTGAAAATACAAACTCGTACCAAAGCCAAATATTCAGAAACTGGTCGTGTTTGAAAATATTCTGAACCTCCAGCATGACCCATTTTCCAGCAAAATCTCACAAAACCTCCAGCAAGCTGGTTGAACACGCTTAGCAGGTCTGGTACCAAATTATATTGAACCGCATCCCCGTGCCGTGGCTGTGGTAATGACTACTGTAATGGCGCCCCGTAGACCTAGATTCAGATTGAAAAAGAAATTTACACCAGCCAACAGGCAACACAAATTGAAATCACATTAAATAAACGCTTTATGACATTACTAATTAAGTAAACTTGTTTCCTATTTACCGTTGAGCGCAAATAATTTTTTTATATTATGAGATTGTAGCTGGGTATCACGATCATAATATATAAAGAGTTTCCGAACCGTTACGATGTTCGAAACTTTGTTATGTTATGATCATCGCCATCTTTGTGTGACGTCACGGTTTAAAAGCGCCCCCTTCCGGAGCAAAATTAATTATCGGATTCTATATTATATTATATTATTATTTCTATATGGATCGAGGAGTACTGGCTGTCAGCGTTGAAGACAGTTTGATTTTGACAAAACACAGCGTAAACATAAGCTCTCCACCATCTCCTCTATTTTTAATACACCTGTTACTGTAGCACATATGCATGAAATAATTTCATGTTTATATAATAACAATTTTGCCTTTTGCTTGAATTTACAAAATTTATGAAAAAATACAAAAATAGAGGTATACAACCAAATGTATTGCATAGCTTTATTTGTTTAACTTCGTAATCTCGTAAATATTAGTCTTCAAAGTCCAAGCGACTATATCGAAGACTGAATGAGACAAAGTTTATCAAATAGACGGATAAATATTGTGGATCACAGTAGAAAAAGTCTCAAGTTTGCAACTAACTAAAAAGGAAGGGAGAGAATACAGAATGACAGAGACAAAAAAGCTAAACTTAAAGGGATCCTTTGAAGATGGCACGTGTCGAAAGCAATGATCACACTCAGATCATCGAGTGCAACTAACAGGCTTCATCAAGCAAGATGGAATGGCAATCTTCACCTGACCATGATAAATTTTATGAAAAGTTATAAGTTTAGCATGGAGAAAGCAGACACGAAGAGGAGCCAAAACAACATCAGAACAATCATGATAGTTTTTGGAAACCCATCCTGCAGCTTTATGTTGAATGACATCCAATTTAGAACAATGAGCCAAGTTCGTAGTTAGCCAAGGGGTTGTGTGACGTCACAGGTCACCAGGTCATTTGTGACAAAAATCGATTAAATCTCGAGTGCGGCGTGCACTCTCGGTTCAGTACGTATATGTACATGTATCCTGTGTACGTACACACGCACGCATGCGTACGTGCACACACACGCACGCACACACACGTGCATGTGATCACGCACGCACGTGTACGTGAATACGTACGCACGTGTACGTGCACATGCACGCACGCACGCACGTACGTGTACATGCACATGCACGCACGCACGCACGTGTACGTGCACGCGCACGCACGCAGCTGTACGTGCACACGCATGCACGCACGCACGCATGCACGTGTACATGCACATGCACGCACGCACGCACGTGTACGTGCACACGCACGCACGCACGCAGCTGTACATGCACACGCATGCACGCACACGTGCATACGCACGCACACACGCACTTGTACGTACACACGCACGCACACACGTGTACGTGCACACCCACGCACGCACGCACGTGTACGTGCACATGCACGCACGCACGTGTACGTGCACACGCACGCACGCACGCACGTGTACGTGCACACACACGCACGTGTACACGCAAGCACGCGTGTGCGTACGCACGCACGTGTACGTGCACACACGAAGACTGTAGCATTACAACGACACAGATGCATGCGTATGTGTACTGTGCGGTCAAAATACGAAATATTTTGTCACAAAATGACCTGACCCGGAAGAATTTGTGGCAAAGTTCGCGCATGCGCAGACTCTAACTACGAACTGGCTTATTCTGAAGAGTATAGGGGCACCAGCCTGGCAAAGAAGGTTTCTGCCATGCAGAGTCATAATCTTTACAGAAACGATTTTAATATTCGTTCTTTGGCCTTTCAGCTTACAAAGAGTGTAACTACATCAGTGTTCGTCAGCAGGTTGCAGTGGATGGCATACTGGATTGGAATCCTGGCTTCATGCTTTACTTACTAAGGTTTTTGTACTTCAAAGACTCAGAAGAGACCATTTCAAGTATTTGCACAGTGCAACGCAGCAAGTCTGCGGGAGAAAGGTGCTAAAACAAATGGAATACTGTCACAAAATGGTTTTTTAATATCAACTGAATTGACATCGAAATGACGCCAGAGTACAGTATAATTTGATGGCGAATCCCACACTCAAATAACAGACAGTTTCACTGAATAGAAATAGTTACATATATAGGTGGTTAAAAACTCATGAGCTGCTATTGGGAGTACTGATCCAACCAATTTGGTAATCGTTGATCTCTCTCCTTCATCATTGAAGTTTGCTAGGCTTCAAATATTTTTATGAGATTATCATCGCCTAACTTTTTTAATTTATTGGCCACTGTCGTACATACATGGTTGTTATTTCTATATGGACATTATTAGCACACGTTGTGATACCTATCGCTCACAGAATTTAGATCGGCCTATGGCGATTAACATTGCCAGTCTGTATTGTCTACAGAAACTACATGTTATTTGTGGACCAACAAACAAATTACAGCAGCAATAACTGGACACACACAGATCAAACTAGCAGTTCAAAAGCTCTAATTGTGATGCCCTTTAGATTCTGTAATAAGCAAAGAAATTGCTTTCCATTCCAGCATTCCTCTCTACGTACAAAATATTGCTGCACATGTATACTGGTAATGTAGTGGGTCTATCCTACTCCATCAAAACTATGCGGGCAAATTTGATACCACTAAAAGCTGCTATTTAGTTTAGCATGATACAGACAAATGTCTACGAAATCTGTCCGTTGATATATGAAATTCTAGGTTTTGTGAATGCTGGAATCATAATTCCATCCCTACACACGTTATCCAGAAAGTCACAGCAGTGATGCAGTTAATATGAGTTATTATATATTACTTTGGATTCTCACATCATTAACAAAATTGTACACACTCCTTTTTCAATAATACTGAACATTGTTTATTATTTGAGTGCTTTTCCCCGATATTCTCATCGTCTTGTGACATTGCTGTACACCTATGAGCTATATGTACAAGGTAAATGGCATCTATGATCCAGCACATTTAGCTGTATGTTGACTGACAACTCTTTTTAGAAACAAAATTTTACAGGCTACATAGCATTCACTAATGGAGGCAGGAGCACGGAATGCTGTAAGATTGGTGGGACATGAATAATGACTTGATGAACACTTCCCAACAGCTGGCTCCATCTAGTGAACGTGAAGGAAAATGTTGCAAGCAGCCAATATGGGAAGAATTTCTCTGCAGAAGCCTCTTCACTGATATTTACAAGATGAGGCTCCCAAAGTCCACCTGTATGAGCTTGCGCCGCTCGGTTAGTCATTTTGCTGGCGCTTCTATGATTCCGTTGGCAAGGTCCGTCATTTTTGGGTACTTCACCTTCTTTGCATCTAGCTCGCTCTGCGCCCACAGTAGCAGCTTCAGTAGACTTGCAAGCTTCGGTGTTGCCTTACGGTTTTCCACTTCCAGTATGGCAGCATTCAGCTCACTGGCAACCTGGGAATTACAGAAGAGCATTCACTAGCACCATGTACATTTATCTCGATAAAAAAATCTGATTCATTGATCCTAATGTATGGAAATAAAAGTAATGCTACATAAGTATGTGGTGCCATCTAGTGTTTAAATATGCAACTATGTATGAATGTATAGCTTATTTACCAGAATCATCTCAGAGTTAAATATTTCCATGACTGTATCAGCATAAGTCCCTAATTTGACTGGCATATACATATATATATGCACACACCTTTTGCCGTTGCGACGGATGTAGGAGTTCTCCAAACGGTGATCCCTCAGGATCTTCGAAGGCCAACAGTGCTAACGTGCGCTCAAGTTCAGCGAGAATTTCAGCGTCAGACTCGCCCCTCTCTGCTAGGTGCACTTGCGCAAACTGCAGCGCATCCTCAACGCCCTTCTGTCGTATTAGCTCGATCAAGTGCTGTTGCTAAAAGTGAGGCACACAACTCATAAATGCATGTATAGACTTCTAGATTTCTACATCCAAAACACATTTCTCCCCTCATTGTTCTGTGAGTTTTCCTGGACTTCAAATGTTCATTTTCCATGAACATGGGACTTAAGCCAAATAATATGTGTATGCCTTATATCATCAAGTCAGTGATTAAAGAACAAATTTTTGCATGAAGCAAATCTAATTGCCTCTAAGATAAGAAATATGTCACTTTTGACAACCAAACATGATACCCAGGAATTTTCAGGACCATAGCCTATTTTCTTGGATTTTCCAGACAAGAAAATGGCATTTTGAAATTCTAGGTCACTTCAGATTTTTTAGAACACAGGAAACATTACATGTTTCCACATGGAGTCATATTCAGTAAACCATAGATGAATCTGCTACACTTATTTCCTCATCTGTATCATGTAAGTTAATTGTTGTTGTTGTTATTCGTTTATCCTCCTACTTCACGAGGTCATGGTCACAATGTAAACCCTCTTTGTATCATTAAGTTAATATGCACCAATGCTGATGACACATTTGAGACCAGTTCAAATTTGACTGCAATACAGGCAAAGATCTAAACTCCAGCTTTTTAACTTTGAATATGATAGTGCCAACTTTTGAAAGAATCATTATAAATCTAAAAGCACTTGGGGTTCTTATTTATAATGATAGTTACCTACATTTTGTCAGTAGATACTTCCTACATTATTTAGCTATGGTGTGACCAGTCCAAGTACTTCTGCCTATGACAGCCCGTAATATACAGTAGCTTAAACATAGGTATGTGATCAACTAACGTGTGCGAGAACACGTAGACACACATGCCAATATTCTGTTATACAGCCGTCTGTACGAACATTCGAACAGCAGTGTTTGCTGTAATCTGAGTTATTCGTATTGGCATATATCACAGAGTAGTAGGGGTGAGTATTGCGACCAAAAACCGTATTGCAATATATTGCAATACGACAAAACCGTATTGCAATATTTTCCAATACGTATTGGGAAGTGTATACCATGCATGATATAGTAACAATTTGATGGTTTTAATATCATCATATATTGTATTATATGACATGATTTAATTTCTCATGTTTTTCTTGAGAAACAGAAGCACGGCAATGTTTTCCGCTGACAGTGCAGCCCTCTGTGCCGTAACAATGTCACCCGCTGTACTGAATACCCTCTCGGAAGGCACTGACGTAGCTGGAATACACAATACCCCTGCTGCATAATTGGCTAATACTGGATACTGAAACTGAAACTGAAACTGAAACAGTGGGTGCTCGCTTCAGCTTGTATCGCCACGAATCCATAGGCTGCCAGCGCTGCATACTGTCGTAGGACGTTGCCGCGGTCGCGTGCGCCTTGCCGCAGAACTGCGCGCAAGATCTCCGCTCAGCGGTTATAGGATCAACACCTCCTTTTGGCAATACTTCTCTGGTATCCCGTCTCTTCTGGTTGCCGTGCTCTGTGCCTCGCGCACACGTCTGCCCCACTCTGCCCGCGCAGTAGTACCGCGCAGTGCTCCATGCAGTGGCCGCTTACCAGTAATACTGTATGCGTCGTGCACGCATTGTGCTTTCGTAATATATACACCGCCAGTGCATAATTTTCGAGCCCATTAACAATATAGACATAAAGGCAAGTGTCAAGTAATTTATTTCTTGTTATACCACCGTATCGTAAAATATCGATATCCGGAAGTTGTATCGCGATATATCGAGTTTTCAAAATATATTGCAATATACCGATATACCGGTATATCGTTACACCCCTACAGAGTAGCCGTGCACTTCTAGTTCTAGAACATTTAAAACCTACATATCATCTGAACACATACCTGCAAATGAAAGTAGAGCAATCGGTCGCTGTCTAACAACTCCGGATGCAGTTTGTTCACCATACTGATCGCATCCTGAATCTTGCCGGTCTGTATCGCGTCACGAATCTTGATCCGCTCGTCTAGACTGTCTAGCTCCACTGAAGGCTGCACGCCAGACTCAAGCCTGAACTTCTCCGCTGCCTCCTTGAAACCCTCTGTTCCATGAAACATAATGCATTACAGAGCAACCGTAGTTAAAGCCATTTCACGTCAATGCTATTGCTAAGAAACAGTGATTACCGTGACTTTATGTTCGTTGTATTGACATTATTGATAGTAATGTGTCTTATCAGTTCTGCTGTTACTGCTACTACTACTAATATTACTAAAAGAAATTAGAGCAGCTAATTGATGGTTTTGAAAGATCTATGGAAGCTACCATCTGTCATAAACAACGCATTCAACTTTGCAAAATGCGATAAATAAATAACAGTGGTGATTTTACTACACAAAATGGTGAATGCAATTGGCGAACGCTTCAACCTCTCACAAAATTACGACTGAATAATGAAATCATCAAATTACAGTGTCATCTCGTAAAATGTATTCATACACCTTTTTTCCCATGCCCATCACCTGTTAGTGTTTATGCCTTGCTTAGCACATACAATTAAAGTGAACATTGGCTATAGTTTTTCATTGGTGGCTAAAAAATAACTTTGGTGACTAAAGTCTAGGCTCAAACTTTAAAACATCCAGAGGGAGCCCTGGTAATGATGGCCAAGGGGTTGACATTTATTAACTTGAATACAGCAGTGTTTCCTAAGCAGGGGCTGATGGTACCACGGTTTTGAGATCTACTCAGTCACACAGAGTAAGGGGTTGAAGCTGGGGCAAATACCTCCAGGGGCTTGATGGCTACTTAGTTACCTACAGCATAGCTTTAATATAGGGTCAGTTGTTGTCTGGCTGCTAGGGCTGTGTCATGTAAGTGTTTGGTTGCAAACAGCAGGAGTTTAAATAGGTAGCAAATACTATCATACAATTGCCAGTCATTTAGTTGCACAAAGCAGATGTTCTAACTAGAGGCTGATCCTGGAGTGGTATACCTAGATAGATGCAAACAGAATTTATCATCATTCAGCAGCAGGGGGATAGTGTCAGGGATTTGTCATTAACTATGTAGTAACTGTACAGTGTAATGCTGCAGGGATTCGATTTTGAGGTGTTAGGGTTCTGACCTCTTTATAGTGTAATTACACTGGCTTGCATTAATTGCAACTAACATTTTTAAGAAAATGTAGCACACACTATGATTGCCACATTGTTCTAATTGTTTCACGTCTTCAAATATACGTTTATTACATATCATCAGAAGTAGATAATAGGGAAGGAGTGCGACTTCAATAAACAAGGGAAATTCGTCATTTACTAGCCTTAGAATACCTACGATTACTACGCGTAACTCAACCAACTTGAGCTCAAATCATACACAGTACATTCACCTAGCATCGTGCGAAATCGTTTCCTCGTATACACCCGCAATCCGGAGATACATACAGACTAAAACGTACGACACGATTCTCCATTCTGTTGCCAGCAAAACGAATCCATAACCCGCCTAACTTGAAACAATAGGCAGCTACTAACGACTCTTGCGCACTCTTGTGCCCTCGGCGATGCGGTGTGGCTCGCTGGGAGATTGGACATCGACGCAACACTCGGTGAGCTAATCTTAAACCTATTTACAGTTGGTATGCCACCCACGCACGCACGCCCACCGCAATCAGCAGCAGCTCCAGCTCCAATCTCCCAGCGAGCCACACCGCATCGCCGAGGGCACAAGTGCGCAAGTCGTTAGTAGCTGCCTTTTGTTTCAAGTTAGGTGGGTTATACATTTGGTTTGCTGGCAACAAAATGTAGAATCATGGTGTACGTTTTTTCTCTGGATTGCGGGTGTATACGAGGAAACAATTTTGCACGATGCTAGGCGAATGTACTGTGTACGATTTGAGCTCAAGTTGGTTGAGTTACGCGTAGTAATCGTAAGTATTCTAAGGCTAGTAAATGACGAATTTCCCTTTTTTATTGAAGTCACACTCCTTCCCTATTATCTACTTCTGATATAATTAAACTATCGGAGAGCGGAACGTGTGAATTTTACAGGTTCTGGGGCAATTAGAGTCAGATGTTTGACATGCACCTGTTACAAGATAATCCATTATGAGCCGATTCATGTCGGCACGCTGAATGTGCAGGTTCTCGAGCCGTGTGAGCCACTCATCCTTACTAACTTCAATCGGCTTCTCCACAGAATTGCTAGTCATATTCATCGCAAGCGTTTGCGTTTCACTTCATTTAATCAGCAGCTGGGATCTGCAACAACAATATATTGTACAGTACATTGTGATGCATTGCTACTTCGAATGATGGCTTTTGCCAGCAATAAAATTGCTTTGATCTAAATGCGTACGGTACTTATTGTTTCAACCTAGCCAGAATTAATAACACTGAACAGCACGGAGCCAAAACCTGCAACTGAGGCTCATAGGGTCTATGTACCCCAGGGTACGTTCCGGCAATACCCCGGGGGACATAGACCCTCTCAGCGCAACTGAGCAACATGTAAAATTGTTTGTTACTATGTTAGGCCTTCCAAATTTTGGTCGATGAAGCAAACACTGAAACCAGGCGTGAGGGTGAATATTTTGTGTAGAACACATGAAATATTTTAACAACAACACGATAATAATACAATAAAAAATATGCAATACACACCTAAAAAGAGAACAAACATGAGACAACTTCGCAGATAAAAAATCACATAACCAGAGTTAAGATGCTCATTTGTTCGTTACACTCCGAAAACCGAGTTCGTGGCGCCCTCTCTGTACCTTCAGCGCTTATGTTTCATTTGTTATAGTTTATTATTTTAACGCACAAAAGATGAGAATCCCTTCATATATGAAGAATTAAATGGGTTAAAACATACTAGTTATGCTATCCCCATATTTTGAACTCTATTCGTTGACCTAGTCGTGTAGTATTTCGGATTTTGTGACAACGCCTTGCATGTGTGAAAACAAAATGGCGACGTATACATGGAGACAACAACATTTTGCTCAAGATTTATCATTAAAATGCATTCAATCTTGTGAATATATCTTCGAAGACGATTAAATTCAATAAGGAACATACGAATAGTGACCAGGTATGTTGTGTTTGTTGTATGTTAATGTTCTTGACACAGAGCAGCACTTCTCTGCGAAAGCAATGCCAATGCAATGCCAATGCCAATGGTTTCTACTTCTAGAAATTCAGCGACTTTGAATGCTCCGTTTGTATGGATGCGAATAACAAGGTGCATTGTGTGAGGTGGTATGGTTACGAGTTATAATAACCATACATCACGATGACATCCCCAATTTATTAACGAATTAGTTGCAGCATACTAAGTAAGGCTAAGAAAAGGTAGTATTAATACTAATAATAGTAATGTCGTACCCAAACTTGGAATCTGCAGCGATTGTGCTGCCCAAACTGCGGATTCCCTAGTTTGGCTGACGAATCTCAAGATTGGGCAAACTGAAAACAGTCGGTGATTCAACAACGGCTTCTTCAACAACCGCTCATAGCGAGTGTGCGGCGTGCGTGGTGCAAACTAGGAAGAGATTTATCTCATATTTATCCAATTATTTATTATAATCATTTATTATTTATACAAAGGTGCCAAACACATAGAGGAAAGAAGGTATACGACCTTATATTATAGTTATGATATAACATTTGAAAACCTAATAGTAATAATCATATGTTTGTGCAAGCTCTGTTTACCTCTGTTTGCCCAATCTCAAGATTGGTTTCCCAAACTACGGATGCGCTGAAATTCCAAGTTTGTGCAAGATTCCAAGTTTTGGCACAATAGCAATAATATTACTACTATTACTAATAGTAATAGTACTATAGCCCCAAGTTCCCTTCTCGCTTAACACTACGTTGGCGAGAGGGTCACAAGCCGACGCAATAGAATATTGTTCGGCATGACGTGCGCTGCTTAGCCTGCTATTTTAAAAACGTAAAATTATCTAACTTTTTATGATTCTTATTGCTTCTCTGTACTTCCACGCCTCGATTTATTATATGTGCGCTATCACTGAGCATGTATTTACGTGTCAGCGTGTAATTATTCGAATTGATAAGATGAAACTCCGAACAAACGCTGCCATTTTTCAATAGATATCCCATAATACGTAGCGAAAGTTCGTGAATTTTCGCGTACAAAAAGAGACATAAGAACATCCAGAATGGCGTTTGTCAAACGTTCAATAGTATAGCTGTTTGAAATTCTCTTATTTTAACGTGTATTTCGAGGTAAATAGTAATTAAGAAGTGATGCGATAGTTGCAAACATGTAACAGGTGAGGTCAAATGTGGTAATACATTGTTTTATTTACGAAATTTTACGAAATTCGGAGTTTGTTTTCAAGCAACCAGGCATTTCGTATGGAAGGGTGTCAGGCTTTTACGACGTGTAACAGTCGGAGAGTCTGGTCGGTTTACTACTACTACTGCTCATAGGGTCTATGTCCCCCAGGGTACTGCCAGAACGTACCCTGGTCACTATTTGATATGGTTAGGGTTAGGGTTATGGAGTAGGCGTAGGCGACGACTGCCTAGACTCGTTAGTGGAGTAGGCGAGGTATGGTCCGGCATATTAGATAGTACTTACCAGGGTACGTTCTGGTATACCGGATCGTACCCAGGGTACGTTCTGGCAGTACCCTGGGGGACATAGACCCTCTCATCACTACTACTAGTACTATTTTATTACTATTACTATTAGTAATACTAATAGTATTTATATAATAATACTCAGTATTACAGTAATACTAATAGCTGATAGGCCTACTAATACTATACTATAGTAATACTATTATTATTATTATTACTAATATAAATAATAATATAGTTTAGTATTACTATTAGTATCATTAATTTAATTAGTTTCAGCATTTGTACAAATGAATTAGGCTGAATAAAATTTAGTAGTCGTGATTTGATGTCTCAATCTATGATAACTTCTTGTACGGTGACTGGGTAATTGTGTTGCCTTTAATGTTATCATTGGAAAAGAAATGGTATTACAAATAATAAAAGGTTGAGAACATCAACAGCATAATCATAGTGTAGGTAGTGCACTAATGGTCGCGTGATCAAAGTAATGGCCAACATTCAAAATTTTACGCAAAGTAAAAGGTCTAGTGTTCGAATACCACATCTTGATTATGAAGGTACTTTATCCTGATTAACTTGGTGAGCACGAACTTTAGTAATGAGTTTCAAGTGATACAGCTTAGAGATAACATTGCTGGATCAAATACAGCATGATATAGTATTTAAATCCAAGCAAATCATTTCTTATTGGCAATTCCTTATGTCAATGTGAAATAATTTTAGTTCATTTCAATTCAAGATATTTATTTTCGCTTTTAACAGAATTACGTACAGAAGACTAAATTAGATTAAACAATAGAAAGACTGATGGAGGACGAATAGACTGTACAAATGTCAAGGATTACTGTAACTTCGTTCTCATAATGTTGAAGTGCCAGTTCATTGCATGCAAATGCGTATTGGCAATATTATTATGTGGAGCAAAATGGCATCAGGTTTTTTCCTTGTAGTTTTTCCAATGCTCTCTGTTTCCATGTTCTAGTCTGCACAGACTACATTCATTACATCATACTTAATGTATAACTCATTAGGCTGCTCAAAATGAAGGGGTGTCTATTTCTGAGAAGATTCCAATTACAGGACCTTTAGCAGCTGAAACAATTGACAGTAGACATGAAATGTCTTGAGTAGAATTGACAGTAGAATGTTCTATAGTAGTATCGTGTTGTAGAGTAGCCGTACTTGGAGGTCTTGAAGGGCAATATTTTAGCTAATGAATCACTTTTTATATGTGGAGGGGTCAACATTAGACAAAACTGGTAATGCTAATAGCATGCCATGTTATCAGAAAGCTGAATTGTCTCTATGACATTTGGCTTATAGTTTTAGACCTTTTACTAAATTTCATAACTTGCAGACTAATTAATAGTGTTGTCAATCGGTTGTAATTTCGTAATCGATCATCGGTTGGACCCAAGTAACCGATGATCGGTTACAATCGGTTACTCGGGGTGTTGAATGCCTGCGTGTGCGTAACGTCGTGTGCATGTACATGTGTGCATGTATGTGCTTGTTTAGCCAGCGTATAAAATCCCTAGTGTGTCCTAGGCTTTAGCCCCTCAACAGGAAGTAACTGCGGCGAATGTCGGGTGATTCCCGAACTAAAATAGAGATGATATCTCTGATTCTCATCACTTTTCCAAGTTATCTTGTTCAAGTTTGACATTTTTTTTTTTTATGAAATTGATTATGGATTTTGATAACCGAGCGCTTGGTTCGAGCCACTGTTCAAGCGCTTGGTTCGAGACACTGTTCAACCGATGATCGTGGCATCACTACTAATCAATTATAAAAAAATATCTATTTCATTGATGTCATAGCTTCTGACTTTTAACTTCTAAGGTGAGCATGGAACTGAGTTATGAATTTTAAAATAAAATTATTAATAACATGTAAGTAATTCTTTCTCTAGAGAATTAAACTCTTATTTCGAGTGTGGCCATTTGATTCGTAGTGCTTTCATGGTAGATGGAGGATTTATCAGCTATATTGAGTCATACTTCTGAAACTTCTAAAGCTTCTCAAAAATCTAGTTTCATTTTTACTTTTAGTAAAATGTCCATTCTATATACTGCTCAGTACTGTAACAATGATTTACTCTCAGCAGGAGATAATCAATTCATAGGTCTAAAACATGTTTTCAAGGATACGATAAGTCTATGCCTGAGGCAAGTTAAGCCTGAAACCTATTCAACAGCAATTCTACATCTAAAGTTATGTACATATATCTCTCAACGGGACTTGTGTGAGATCACTCAGGACTTGATACATACACACACACACACACACACACACACACACACACACACACACACACACACACACACACACACACACACACACATAACGACACATAAGAACTAAAACTGCACACATGCATTCAGCTTTCACTCCTGTACAGTTTTCGTTTTTGTATTTCCTGTTCCATTTAGCCATGTAAGACCTGTCTAGACTACAGTGTGCATGCAGGTTATGGCATTGCGCCTGCCGTAGTGTTAAAATATTGTTATAATAAAATTTGAAATCCCTATCTTGTAATTACTAATTAGTAATTAGCCTCTCAAGTTCAAAATCGATTTGCTGTGAAATCTAATATAAGTAAATCTGCATCTATAGATGCACTCATTCAAAGCGTAAACCTGCGTGAATGCTTAAATTTTGTCTGATGTTGAGTGTAGATAGAGTCCACACCTATCTGTGTAGATGTGTAGCTCATGAAAGCCAAACTGCATAACATATATATATATATATATATATAAGTCAGTGATGAAAACTTACAAATAAATGTAGTAGCCAGTTGGGCACCTAAAGTAAAAATATTAGGGGCCCAGCTCAAATATTAGGGGCCCAGCTTATGGCACGAAGCGCCGAAGTTCGGGATTCGTTTTCTTGGATATTGACACTAAAATGGTGCTCTATTATGCATTCTGAGCATGAAGATTCAGAGCAAATCTTTTGAGAAAGAACCGCAAGTCTTTTTTGCAAACGGTACAAAGTCTATGAAAATACATGATGTCACTTCAATAGGGCGACAGAGTTAGGTGGTGCCCGATGAAACGTGCATGACGAGTGGCCAATACAAATATTTATTTAGGAGACTCCGTACTATACCTTAGTGACAAGAA